CTTTGCTGTATTTTCAAAGTCTAGTGTGGTGTTGGCATAATAGGCATTGAAAATGTTACCTTATGGATTCTTGAACTCACTTATTTCAGTCGTTTGCATCTCAGCAGAACTGAACATATAATTTGCATACTGCACCAGAGATAGAAATCCCCTTGATACAGTCTTTTCTGGTGTTTAATCATAAATATATAACTTCCTTTCTTCAATTCCAAATGTCTCCATCATGTCATTCTATATCTGTGAGTTCTCTTTGTTCTATAGAATTGACTATTCCAAAACACTCCTTAAAATAATGCTTTTAAAATTTGACTGTGATTAAATCTCGTCATATTCAAATAACTGTTCCTTTATTGATTTGATTATTTGTGTTTGAGAGACTTTGGAATCAAAGTATGAAGCTAAATTATGCCCCTTATGGATTTGGGGGTATTTCCCTCCTAATATGAACCTGTTAAATAATCTCTACTTAGAAGGCTTTCCAGTTATGCTTGCCTGCCTAAAAAAGTTTGTGGAAGGCACTGAATCCATGTTGCCTGAAAGGGGGGTGAAGGTGGGCTGTGCTCTAGAATGAGCTATCTGCTGGTGTGCTATCATTTCTTCTCAGGATGGGAACAGAAATGTTTACCAAAATACTGAGCAGTAGTTATATTAAATTTGACATTTTGATTTTTAAACCTCTGCCTCCATTCTGATACTGTTTTAAATCCCACTTTCCATTTTACCATTTACCTGACTTGTAGTGAGGGTGGGTTTTTGGTTTTGGTTTTGGTTTTGGTCTACTTTCTCTGCTTTTTCCTTCTTTTGTTCCTTTTAGTTTTTTAAGCACACACCTATCTTAGCTAAAGTCCCTTGCCTTTGATTTTTGATTCTCTGCTTTCTTAGATGCTATGTCTTTCATCCCAGTCAGTATTCCTCCATGTCTAGCACAGTGCCTGGGACTTGGTACAAACCCAGTTAATGCTTTAAGAAAATTAATGAATGAGTAGTAACAATTTAGTTGACTCTTATGGTGGATTGTCATACTGATCATTACTCTAGGAAATTATGTACCCTAGTAATTTACACACATACAAAGTGGTTAAGAGTGTATATACAGCTCTGGGTTTGAGTCCCTGCCCCAGCTTCACTTATTACCTGTGTGACATTGTAAAAATTGTTTCATGTCCATGACTCTGTTTCCACTTCTGTAAGATGATGATAGTAATAACATCCACCATACAACCTTTTGAACTAACTAGTCTTCCCCTGCACCCTTAACAGTGGTTGTTCTCTCTACTCAGAAGCTCCCTCCCCAAGTTCTTTGTGACTTCTTGTCATTCGTATTTCAGCTTGAGTGTCATCTGAGAGGGTTCCTCTGTATCAGGATTTGTAGCTGTAAGCAACAGAAACCAACTCTGGCTGATTTTTGAAAGGTTATTAGGGAAACTCACAAAATATCAGGGAAAGCCACAAAGCCAGGCTTGAAGAATGGGCTAGAACAAGGGAAGTTGGGTAGCAGCCAGGACTCTCAGCCAAAATCATTCACAGAACCAAACCATGAGGTCACTGCTGCCGCTTATACAGCTTACACCACTACCACCAGCTGACTGGGCTTTACTGGCCACGATAGCCACACCTTGCTGCCAGCATGGACACTCTGTGGCCTCTGATTTTTTGATTCCAGATCCCAATTAAGACGCTTATCAACTGAGCCACCCAGGCGCCTGAGTTTGATAAGTTCTTTATAGATTTTGGATACTAGCCCTTTCTCTGATAAGTTATTTGCAAATATCTTCTCCCATTCTGTTGGTTGTCTTTTGGTTTTGTTGCCTGTTTCCTTTGCTGTGCAAAACTTTTTATCTTGATTAAGTCCCAGTAGTTCATTTTTGCCTTTGTTTCCCTTGCCCTGTGAAGACATGTCTAGCTGCGGCCGAGGTCACAGGTTGCTGGTTGTGGATTTTGATGGATTCCTGTCTCACATTTAGGTCTTTCATCTGTTTTAAGTCTATTTTTGTGTATGGTGTAAGGAAATGGTCCAGTTTCATTCTTCTGCATGTGGCAACTTTCCCAACACCATTTGTTGAAAAGACTGTCTTTTTTCCATTGGATATTCTTTTCTGCTTTGTCGAAGGTTAGTTGATCATAGTATTTATATTCTTTTAAAAATAAAAGTAAAGAAAAAACGTTGCACCTACATTATTTCATTTGACCTTTTTAGTAGTCTTCCAAGAAAAAGGGTGTTGGGGATGAAGCATATGGGCCTTTTTCTGGTGAGGCATATATGGCCTCCTCAGTGTTTGTTCTAGTTGTTCCTGTGCCTATGAGACACAGGAATGAGATCCTATGTGGAGAGACCAAGACTTGACTAAGGCCACATAGCTTACTTATTACCAGATGCACTCACTGACTTTGGTGTTCTTTCTGTTATGATAAATCTCACCCTATATTCTTGGTGATTGTGGGGGAAATTACTGTTGGGTTTTTTTTGGGGGGGGGGTTGACCATCATATCACAAACCAGGGACATAAACATAATTGCAGGCCAGTGTTACTTCATGCCAATTTGTCCAAATTCACATTTTTAATTTGGTGGCCCGAGACCCCTGGGAAAGTTATCATGAAACCATAGTTGTTCCCAGTTGGCATCCCTAGGTGTTCTTCATGTTCACAGGTTTTGTGATCCTAAATAGTGCCAGTGACTTTCATATCTCCCTGGTAATGCTAAGATGCAATGCTGGATGTCTTCCACATTGTGGGGAAGGCTCTTGCCCTTTTAAGAGCTTATGGTCCCAAAATAGATCATGGAGGCATAAGCCCCAAAGAACTTGGGCTGAATGGGAACACCTAATCAGGTGGCAAGATTTTTATTGTCCTACTGTGTGCCTAACGCTAAAGAAAAAAATTTGCAATAACATAGTGTTTATATAGAGTTTCTTTTGTGAGTAAATGCCAAAAGAAAAGGAGTCTGCTTACAGATCAGGTGGAGCGAATATGATTTCAGGAGGGTGTGCTAGGAATCTGTAGGAGGGCAGCTGATGGAAAACCAGGGCCGGGAGATCCAGAAGTCTTGGGAATCCTGCTGGCTTGGGAGGGTTGGCAGAGAGGCTTGGTGGGCCCTGGAAGCCATTGTCACAGCACAAAGGTCCATAATGGGGAAGAAAGACTAAACTTCCTTTGTGGCTTCAGTGGTGGAATCAGGACCAAAAGTTGGAAATAACAGGGGGCAGAACTTTCTTTGAAAGCCTAGTGGTTTTTTTTTCCTCTAGCATTTCTTTTTTTTCTTAATGCAATATTAATGTGCTTTTGTAGAAAAGAATTGCAAGTATCACAAACAGAAGGAAAAAAATCAGTCACACTACTATTCAAAGATGGCTATTATTACATTTCCTTTTTTACTTTTTTATTTTTTAAAATATTTATTTGAGATAGAGAGCAAGAGTGGGGAGTGGGGGGCAGAGGGAGAGGGAGAAGCAGGTTCCCCGCTGAGCAAGGAGCCTGATGCAGGGCTTGATCCCAGGACCCAGGGATCATGACCTGAGCTGAAGGCAGATGCTCAACCAACTGAGCCAACCAGGCACCCCCCTTTTTAATTTATTTTTTAAGATTTTGTTTTTATTTATATTATTTGTGTGAGAGAGAGAGAATTCGAGACAACACAAGCGGTGGAGAGGGAGAAGCAGGCTCCCCGCCTAGCAGGGAGCCCAATGCGAGGCTAGATCCTGGGATCATGACCTGAGCCAAAGGCAGACGCTTAACTGACTGAGCCACCCAGGCACCCCGTTTATATTTCCTTTTTTAAACATAGCTTTGATAATAGTATTTATTGAAAAAGCATCATGTTATCATATAAACATTTGGTGTGATGTAAGCATTTTTCCTTTATAAGTAGCATTTTTTAAAGATTTTTTAAATTTTTATTTATTAGACAGAGACAGACAGTGAGAGGGAACACAAGCAGGGGGAGTGGGAGAGGAAGAAGCAGGCCTCCCGCTGAGCAGGGAGCCCTATGCTGGGCTCGATCCCAGGACCCCGGGTTCATGATCTGAGCCGAAGGTAGATGCTTAATGACTGAGCCACCCAGGAGCCCCTATAAGTAACATTTCTAATGCTGCTTAATATCAAATGGCTATACATTGTTTAACCATCCCTCTGTCATCGGAAATTTTGGTCCTTTTAATTTTTTTGTTTTTACAAAATCTGTGATGGGGGTACCTGGTTAGTAGAACATGCAACTCTTGATCTCAGGGTCCTGAGCTTGAGCCCCAGGTTGGGTGTGGAGCCTACTTAAGATAAAAAAATAAAATAAAAACAAAATCTGTGATGAATATGCTTGGGTATAGAACTTTAGTGTTTCTTGTATTTTGCATTTTCTTATGGTAAGTTATCATAAATGAAATTAGTAGGTTTTTCTAACCATCAGAGTTTATAACAAAGTTTGCTTCAAGAGGTGAGACTGAAAGCCTACCTACCAGGATAACGAAGAGGGATTTCTTTATCAGATCGGATTTTAGACATGATCACCTTTCCCTTTCCTGTCCACCCTTTGATTTTGTGACTCTATTAGAGGGTTGAGTGCTTTCTGTGATACTGATTTGGTTTTGGGGAGAGCCAAGATGAGGGTCAAGGATTCAAAGTATAATTAATGCATAATTGCCACAGATGCATACTGAGCAAGTGAAACTTGACATCTTTCTTGCTACATGCCTTGTTCTTATTTTCAGGATATGCTCCCATCTTCCTTCATACTCCTATCCAACCCTCCATTTTCTGGTGAAGCATACATGACTCCTTCAGTGTTTGTTCCAATACTTTCTGTGCCTCTGAGTCATTGTCTCCCCCATCCTACCCTTTTCATCTTCCAAAGGTTCTTCAACACTATGCAGCAGGGCCAGCCCACCATGTCATAAATCATAGGCAATAGCCAGTTCACTAGGTAGGCTGGTGGACTGTTTTAGGGGTAGAACCAGGGCTCTGAATCCACTTTATTCCATCCCTCAAGGTTTGATGGTTTTTTCCCCCCAGGTAATTAAATGTGTGTCTTGTGGACCTGGGCTTGGCTGGAATGCTCAAGGGTCCTGAAGATCCTTCTATAGCTTCCTGCTGTTGAATCCATTAAGAGAAGATGGCAAAAGTCAACATAACTAGAGACCTCATCTGTAGGCAGATCAAGGTAAGCACCTTAGACCTTTGAACAAGAGCATGAGGTCCTTTCTTCCTAAAAGATTCATTTTACACCTGAAGAAACTGAGGTCTGAAGTCGGTGACTTGCCTGAAGTCACACAGCTACTTAGTGGCAGACCCAGGACTAGAATCAAGGTCTCTTAACTCCCATCTTCTTTTGCCCAAGAACATAGAATTCATGGAGACTCCTCTGTCCCAGTGCTTTGTACCTGGGCTGCTGGAATTAATGAAAGCTGGTGAGGGAAGGGAGCCATCAGTGTGCTGTGCATGTGCGTACACAACTGTGTGTGCATATGTAGGTTTATGGGGGCTGCTGTGGCAGGAGAAAACGTGGCATCTTCATGTTGCTCCAGCTGCTAAGTTGTGCACGTAACAGAACCTGGAAGAGTCTTAGTCCCAGTTCAGCTTAGACTCTTTCTTCTTTTCTTTAAGGGTCTCCTGCACCTGACCTGTACAGTTTGTACATTCTGTGAGATGAATGAATGACCAGGCAGTCACATTCATTTAGCAAGGTAGCCCAGGCTTTGTCAGGGAAACCTGCAGTAAAGGAGCACAGGGATTTAATGGAAGAGTTTCCACCAAGACATTATGTGCTTCTATAGTAAGAACCCCAAACTGGGGTCAGGAGCTTAATCTCACCACTGCCCTAATTACTTATAAGACTTGAGTCATTTTACTTCCCTGTGTTTTCTGTTGTTAAATGATAATAATGTCTGCCTCTAGGTGGATCATAATGAAATCTGAAAGAACACAAGTTTTTTGAAAAGGTTAAGTGCTAAAAACATTTTTTTAATTAAAAATCTTTAAAAAATAAGTGGCATGCAGCATAAGCTGTGATCCTCATCAAAAAGGATTGAGTGTATGCCTCTACATGAGCCATGTACTTGGTGCATATCAATCTACGTTTCATATATTTTTTCCCTGCATCCCTGAATCCTTTGGGGGCTTTGTCCATTTGTGGGGGTTTTTGTAATTTCATTAGAATGGATGGCCCTCAAGGGCAAGGACCATTTCCTAGAGGCACAGAATCAGAGTTGGAGGGACCTTGCAAGTTATTTTTTTTCCCTATGAATATCCCCCACAATATGTGCCCTAAAGATGATGCCCACCCTCTCCAACCTAACAATGGAAACTCCCTATTTTGTTGTTTTCAATTTTTTTCATTTTTTCTTTTCTTTCTTTCTTTCTTTCTTTCTTTCTTTCTTTTTCTTTCTTTTTCTTTTCTCCTTCTTCTTCTTCTTCTTCTTTGGCAACCCAACAAGCACAACTTTGTGCTTTATTTTATACTCTTTTATTATTCTCTAATCCTTGCCCAAGTATAGTGCAGACCTTTTGTAGATCCTGTGGTGCCCAGCACAGTGCTGGGTATGTAATAGGCACATAGTAAATCATACTGGATTAAATTAATGAAACTGTGAGTTTGTATCTGTCCCCCAGGAGCGGGGTGCCCTGAGCTTTGAGCGGCGCTACCATGTCACTGACCCCTTTATCAGGCGGCTGGGCCTGGAAGCAGAGCTACAGGTAAGAAATCCAGTTTGCACACTAGATGCAGATGGCCAGTTCTCCATTCTCTGTCTATAGAGAACCCTCTGCATTATTCAGGGTGTAAACAAGTTTTTCTCTGCAGGTCATACCTGATGGTTACCTCTCCTTTCCAGCAGTTTTATTAGGCTGGTAAATATAGGCAGGTGAATCCAGGTTAGTGATTGGCATGGTCATGCAGAAATTATTTCTTGGTCATATTATTTGCTTTGTGCTTGGAAAAAGATTGTTGAAATGCATACCACTGTTTTTACTATTGGCTTGGACAATAATTATTCTTACCTTTGCAAAGAAAGAGTTTACATGGTGTTTTTACACACACACACACACACACACACTCTTGTCTCTCTCTCTCTCTTTCTCATTTTAGCTTCAAAGTAATGTGGGGAGGTATATAGGGAATGGGTATTTAAAAAAAAAAGGTTTAGAAAGGTCAAGCACTTTGTCCAGTGTTGTCCTGACCAGTCCATGGAAAGCCAGGCCTTCAGTCCAGAAGTTCAGCTTTTTCATCATGTCCAACACCGAGACACTCTATAATGTTAGTTCCAGTCCCTTTCCTCCCTCCAGATCATGTTTTGAATCCAACTTTTAGCTGTCCTATCCAACTTAGTGTTATCTGTAGGTTGAGTTAGAATTCTCTTTGCTGGGGTGCCTGGGTGGCTCAGTTAGTTAAGCATCTGCCTTCAGCTCAGGTCATGATCCCAGGGTCCTGGGATCGAGCCCCGCATCAGAGCTCCCTGCTTGGCGGGGAGTCTGCTTCTCTGTCTCCCTCTGCCTGCCACTCCCCCTGTTTGTACTCCCTCTCTCTCCCTCTCAAATAAATGAATAAAATCCTTAAAAAAAAAAAAAAAAATTCTCTTTGCTTCCTTCAAGTTAGTGTTCATAAGTGATCATGTTGATCTTAGAAAAAGACTAGGAAGAGGGCGCCTGGGTGGCTCAGTCATTAAGCGTCTGCCTTTGGCTCGGGTCATGATCCCAGGGTCCTGGGATCGAGCCCCGCATCAGGCTCCCTGCTCAGCGGGAAGCCTGCTTCTCCCTCTCCCACTCCCTCTGCTTGTGTTCCCTCTCTCGCTGTCTCTCTCTCTGTCAAATTAAAAAAAAAAAAAAAATCTTTAAAAAGAAGAAAAAGACTAGGAAGAAATTTATTGAATGTTCACAGTGTTATCTCGAGGTAGTGAGATTACAGATGATTGTAACTGCTTTCTTTTAATTATAAATTTTTATCCATTTAAAAATATAACTATATTAATACTGATGATCTTGAAAAGATAATTAAAAGTTACTTCTTAGTCCCATCTCCCTAATAGCAATGCTATTAGCATTTTGTGTGTAGAGACTAGGGCCCAAGATCTAGCTGTGGAGACACTCCAGCTTTTAGAAGTTGATTACAAGCTAAGGAGATTAAAAAGTTACCCAAGAAATAGTGCTCAGTGAAGTAGAAAGGAAACAAAACCAGGAGAGTGTAAAGGCCACGTAAGGAGAATATTTTAAGAAAGAAGGAGTGGTCACTTCTACTCAGTGCTTTTGAAAGGTTGAGTAAGATGAGGACAGAACAACAACTGTGGTCTTTACTGGAGTGGTGGGAATAGAGGCTAGATTGGAGTGGTTGTGAGAGTGAATTGGAGGTAAAGAAGTGACAACCATATTGTAGACAGCTTTCTTTTTCTCTCTCTCTTTTTTTTTAAATCCTTTTTTTTTTTTTAAGATTTTATTTATTTATTTTGACAGAGAGAGACAGCAAGAGAGGGAACACAAGCAGGGGGAGTGGGAGAGGGAGAAGCAGGCTTCCCGCTGAGCAGAGAGCCCAACATGGGGCTCGATCCCAGGACCCTGGGATCATGACCTGAGCTGAAGGCAGACACTTAATGACTGAGCCACCCAGGTGCCCCTTTTTTTCTCTTTTTTAAAGAGGGTGATGGAAATTTATTTATTTATTTATATATTACAAACTTTTCCCCCAGATGAGAGGAGCTAGGATGTAATCAGTAAAAAGGGTAAACTATGAAAGATATCTTCTCTTGCCCCTCTCCGTCTACATTCACCTTCCTTCAACTGTCTTGTTCTCCTGTCTTTGAGTTGGCTTTAACCAATGGGGGGTCATTTCAGAAAATTGGAGGAAGAATGGCATCTTTTTTATTCCCTCACTTCTTTCCTTCAAAGTCATTTTGTTTTGTTTTTGTTTTCAGCTTTACTGAGTTGTGTAGACAACTCTTGAAACAACTTTATTTACAAAAGGAAATGGAGAACTGGAGAAGTGGCTGGGTCTATGGGATCAAAGGAGATATTTATAAGAGTGGGAAGAAATACTAGCATGTGACTGTATGTTGATGGCAGGGGAAGGTTTGCTGATATAGGAGGACAGAATAATTGAAGGAGCAGAGTCCTGGGGAAGGCTGGAGGGGATGGGTTTCAGAGTTCAAGCAGTTCAGGCCTTTGATAAAACCCAAGACATTTCTTTAATTGTTCCAGGGTCCAGTGGGTCTGGGATAAGGAGCAAGGCATAGACTGGAATAAAAACTGAAGCGTCATTGACAGAGAGAGAGTCTATAGGAGCAGTTTTCAAAGTGTTGTCTGCAGACCCCTGGGAATCCCCACAACTTTTTCAAGGGAATCCATGAAGTCAAAACTACTTTCACTGTAGTATCAAGACATTGTTTGCAAAACAAAAATTAATTCACTTAAAATTTGCAAAAAATGGGGTGCCTGGGAGGCTCAGTCGGTTAAGCGTCTGCCTTTGGCTCAGGTCATGATCTCGGGGTCCTGGGATTGAATCCTGCATTGGGCTCCCTGCTCAGCGGGGAGTCTGCTTCTCCCTCTACCCCTCTCCTGCTGGTGTTCTCTCTCTCTCTCTCTCAAATAAATAAATACAATCTTAAAAAATAAATAAAATTTGCAAAAAAAAAAAAAAAAGTGAGTAAAACTATTGTCACCTTAGCATGGATTAAGGCAAATAGCATCAAACCGTCATCGACTTATTAACACCATGCATTTGCAGTAACCAGAAAAAAGCAGGTTTTACTTAACATGTCGTTGATGTGAAGCAATAAAAATTACTAGTTTTATTAAATTTCAACCCTTAACGTATATATCTCTTTAGTATTCTGTATTATGGGATGGGAAGTACACATAAAGTCCTGCTGCTGCGAACTGCACTATGATGGTTGTTCTGAGGAAAAAGCACTTGTGCAGTTGTTTGAGTTGCAGGCCCCACTAGCCAGTCTTTTCATCTGAAAGAAGTACCATCTGAAAGAACGAGACAAAAACAATGGTTATTCAGATATGAGTACTGGGCAGACATTTTCTTAAAAATGAATGAACTGAGCTGTCACTTCAAGAAAAACAACTGACAGTATTTGTTGCCAAGGATAAAACTTGAACTTCTAGGCAAAAAAAGAGAGAATATAGGAAAACTTGTATCTGCCATAATGAGCTTGATAACTTCTCAATATTTAAAAGGTTTTTTTGACGAGATCTGTGGTGATAAAAACAAATGTCAACAGTGTTGTATAATGAATATTAACATTGAAGATCTTTAAATTCAGTGAGTCACTGTTTTCAAAATGACCAGTGTATGATGTAACAGACTCATACATGTGTAAAAGACCTATGCATAACACAAACTAGACCAACGTGCTTTAACATAGCAAGGTACCGATAGTTCCTTTATGTGGTTTCAGATGCTACATTGTAACTTAAGAAACCATTACTTGTGGAGTTTTGGTGCAGTATCAAAGAAGGCGATCTATATTATCTGAAAAGGCTATCAAAATACTCCTCCCTATTGCAACTAATTATCTTTGTGAGGCTGTATTTTCCTTATATACTTCAACCAAAATAACATATGGCAACAGACAATGCAAAAGTAGGTATGAGAACCCACTTACCTTCCATGAAGCTAGACATTATGTAAAGCAATGCCACTCTTGTTATTAAATTCTTTTGTTTTAGAAAATATATTTACTTTTCTTTTAAAACATGTTAACATCATTTTTGTTATTTTTAAATGAAAATAATATGAAATATTTCCATTTTAATTTCTAATATGGGGTAAATATCAATAAATATAACCCCTATATACAAAAGCTCTTTGGAATCCTCAGTAATTTTTTTCAAGTTTTTTTTTTTTTTTTGAGAGAGAGAGAGAGCATGAGCGGGGAGGAGAGGGAGAAGCAGGCTCCCTGCTGAGCGGGGAGCCCAATGCAGGGCTTGATCCCAGGACCCTGAGATCATGATCTGAGTCCAAGGCAGACACTTAACCGACTGAGCCACCCAGGCAGGCGCCCCTGGCATCCTCAGTAATTTTTAATAGTGAAAGGGGTCTTGAGACTAAGAAGTTTGAGAATCACTAGTCTATAGGAGCCATGAAACAGGATGAGTGGATAATGTCACTTGGGGACAAAGTAGGAAGTGAGAGAAGCAAGCTTAGGACCAGGAACCAAGTTTGTTCAACATTTAGAGATTGCCTGTTACTGCCCTTCCTCTATCCACAGGAACCAGAAAGAATAGGCACAGAGATGAGAGAACATGGTATCAGGGAAGCCAAGGAGGAGGGAAAGTTCAAATGGTACTGAGTTTTAGAGTCTTAACTCCCAAAAAGCTATCTTATTTCCCTCTTTCCTACTTTGAGGTTGGAGGGGATATCTTTTTGTGACTCTCCCCCCCCCCCAACAAATAGTAATTAAGATACCATTATGAGTCATATGACCTTGGTTAGGTAAGTCTAACTTCACCCATTTCTTCATCAGTAAAATAACATCCATATCCTGTTTGTTAGGTTTGTGAGGAGGGATAAACAAGTTAATTTATGTAAAATTATGTAAAAATACTTAGCACAGTGCCTAGCATATGGTAAAAGTCATGTTATATAGCACTCAAATATTAGCTGGTATTATTGTTGTTATTTGTAGAAAGCTCTTAAAAGTTTCCTAAGATGCCGATTTGATGGCATCTAACTTTTTATTTATTTATTTATTTTTATT